ACAAGAAGACGAGGAAGAAGACGTAAGAAGATGCTGGATGACCTTGGGGGCAGAAGAGGATACTGTCATTTGAAGGAGAAAGCTCTAGATCGCATCAAGTGGAGGAACTGTTTTGGAAGAGACTGTGGACCTGTCGTCTGACAGATTACTGATGAATGAATGAATGAGTTGTTGTCAATAAGTCACAATATTTAAATGGAATATTATTGTAGTTCATGATGACTAGATGCCTATAATACACGTATTATACATGTATATTTTTGAATAAAACTGAAGTGGTTGCATTATGATTCTAAAACACGCAAGTATAGTAAACATAACTGATTGTGTGAGGTACTGATATTGTTATCCTCTAACGATGATCACATTCAACGTAAAAATGAGAAATAACACCAAAATCACGTCAATAGCTCAGTTACATTCGTCTCTTTATAAAATCAGTTTTTTCACCTCGGCACTACAGCCCCAGTGGGCCTAGGCCTACCTCCATGAACTCCGTTGACTTCGGTTTTTCTAGATCTTACATATTCGGTAGGCCTCCTTGGGAGGGTGATCAGCTCGTCGCAAGGCCTATACCTGTACTCAAACACAGAAAAACGCACACAAACATCCATGCCCCGAGTGGGAATCGAACCCACGATCCCGGCTTCCGAGCGAGCGAAGACAGTGCATGCCTTAGACCGCTCGGCTACCGTGACCGGCAGTGTATAAGAATAATATATAAGAATTCAGTCCGTACCTCACAGGAAACAGATCCGAACCCACGATCCCGGCTTCCGAGCGAGCGAAGACAGTTCATGCCTTAGACCACTCGGCTACAGTGACCGGCTATAAAATCATATAGAGTGCACCAAATTACAAGGGCTCCTAGTTTTGGCGGTTGTCTTATGTAATAACACATACATGTAGTATCTAATTTGGTGGATATAGTGGTAAATGTTCTTCAGTGAATATGAATTTAAGCATCATGTCACGGAATATATGAAGTTTCGTTTGTAGATGTAATCTTTATCATAAACGTTTGTTTCATCAAAAACTTCTTCAGTTGCTCTCTTTCTTACCTTTAAATTATATTTTATTCTATATAACACTAATCCTGTATCTCAAGTATTGTTAGCAATTAAGCAGAGCTATACTTACATTACTACTGATTTTTTCACTTCAATTTTTTTTTTCTGTTTCTTTTGTGTTTCTGTGTCTTTACTGGGCGCACACTTCTGCCTGCCTCCTTAATGAAGTCTTAGCTACTGGTTAGAACTTGAATTATCAACTTGTTGAATATGTTTACTGTTATTGGCAGATTGATAAAGGCTTCTTGGAATTCATTAGCACGTGATCAAGGTCAATATTATTCGACCGTTTTAACACATCACCTCAATAGACTTCTGTGACGACATTTGTCAGTAGCTTCCTGCTAAGTGTCACATCACGAACATAATTCATGAAGCACATTTTCTTCTTTCTTAGTTTAGAATCGTAATAAATACAAATATAAGATACTATAGTAGAAATCATTTGCATACATATTATTTATATTATAATACGTTATTGTGTTTCCACTGTTTCTTTTTGGTTTATAGCAGTTCAGTAATTCCTAAGCCACTCCAGGATAGTTCATATATAAAGAAAATTCCGTCCGCATGCTTCCAATATATGAAAAATTAAGCTGTATATTTGTTGTTTAACATACAGAACGGCTGTCGAAAATAAAATAATATATCGTACCTTTTTTATAGAATCTAAATTAAAGATAAGCGAAACTAATTCATCTCCATTTCTTGCAGTGGCCTAACTTCCATGTGCCATTTAAGATTTTGAATTTATAAGTTATTGTTTACATGGAGTTTATCAAATATTTTAGGGGGATAGGATGGAGCTTATGTGAAAAGGAAAACAAAGGCGTATAGAAATATTGATAAGGAAACCTGAACGAAAAGTCTACCTTAAACACCTAGGTGTGAAGAAGTAAAAAGTAAAGCTATCCTTGTACCAGGCCGTGAAATCCCATAGGGCTTGAGACGTTGAGGGTCCCACATTATCTAGACAACCGGCTCAAAGATGGCGGTAAGGTTGTCAGACTTACGCACCGGCAGCGCTTTACTCGCCAGGAAAATTATTTAATTTATTCCTGGTACTCATTTCTGTTACAGGCTGAGTAAACCCCAGGGCCTACTGCTGCCGGAAAGATTAGGTCAATTGAAAAAAATCCAATGACCTCATCGGGACTTGAACCTGCGACCTTCCGGCTTGTAGCATATCCCATCAACCAACTACGCTACCGAGTAGATGTGAAAATAATGTTGAAATGGAGCATAAGAATGAGAAAATGTGGACTAGATTCATCTGTTTCAGGATAAGAGCCAGTGGAGAGTTCTTAAGAGCACAGTAATTAACTTTCGTGTTCCATAGCGTGCTGGTAATTTCATAACTAACTGAGGAACTATTAGCCTCTCAAGAAGGACTTTGTTCCATGTAGTTAGTCTGTCCTGAAATTCATTGAAGTTGCAACATAGAAGGTTAATTTGATATAAACCCTACTTGTAGTTGCAACTATCAAGCGAGAGTTTCTACATAGTTATATAATATCTTTCGCGCACAAATTTCATGATTTCGGTAAGTTTAGTTAAAAAATCCAGGCGATGAAAAGCTAATTATCTAGTAGGCCTATAGGCCTTTATATATTGGCTTGTTTGGAAAATGCCGTCTTCTGGGACGTAGCGCTGTGTAGATATTGTATCTACCCTGAAGATGGAGGTGATACGTTCCTCCGAAACGTCGGTTGACACGAGATTTACACGGCCCCACATCCCAAAAGACGGCATTCTTCATAGTCACTGCCGTGAAAACCTCAAATCTTATATTTGTGTGTTTGCTCTACTTACAAAATTACGTGGTCGCGCCATAGCTCAAGCGGTTAGTCGCTGGCTTCCCACCGCGGCGGCCCGCGTTCGATTCCTGGGTCTGGTCAAGTTGGATTTGTGGTGGGCAGGTTTTCTCCGAGTCCTTCGATTTCCCCTGCCAATCTTCATTCCACCAATTGCTCCACAATCACCCTCACCTATCATCTGGGGCTGGTACAACAGGCCAGAAGTGGCCGCTGTGCCGAGTGGACCCAGCTGGACTCCACCCCTCACTACAAAATTACATTTTTTTTTTGTGAATGATGCAGTATAAATCAATACCAAGCTAAAGGCACAGTAAAATATCTACGAATCCAGCTTCCATACATCCACACGACACCCTTCATTATCTTGCCTGATCGTCCAACCTAAGGGTGTTATCGTAGAACCTCAGAGGAATTGAACTTGACTCGAGTAATTAATTTATAATTCCTTCCTATGGACTTGTTCATCTCATGATTGATCTAATATCTTCCTCCTCCTCCTCCTCCTCATTCTCATCCTTATTCTTCTTTAAGAAATAATATTCTAAAACCTTCCAGTGTATGATTTCTTGTTTCGTTAATTTAAATGTATCTTACTCAATTGAGCGCACGTCTGATTCTTGCCTGATGAAGTGAACTCTTTACGATATCACTGTATACACTTTGGGAGATCTTCAAAATATTTCTGCGGGCTGTAGGTCAACTAAATAAATTCTATATTAAATTTTTAATTCAAGCTCCTTTATCGAAGTTTCGTTGTCTCATGAGAGTTCTCTTCCATTCTGCTTTAGCATTCTCGTAGTAGAGTCTGTTATAACATTGTGTCTGTTTACTTGCAGAAACACGTCGTCTCATTGATTAAAAGTTAGTCTAGAACCAAGTTAGTCAAAACATGAAGTTTCTTTAAGCGTGTTTACATGAACGAGAATTCGTGAAATCAATTCTCTGGGAGTAGAGATGTCAAGTATGAACATCTACTGGTAAATCCACTTCGGCAGCATTCTGTCTACAAACTTACGTTTTAGAATTAAAAATAAGCTCTTTATACGAAATTATGAATATGTAATTTGTGCTTATTACTTACTTACTCGTGGAGCTGAGCCCTTCTTGAGGAGCCGCCAATTCTGCAGTTACTCAAGAATTTCCCAACATTTTTTGAAACCGAAGGTTCATTACCGTGTTCACAAGAACCCTCCACTGGTCCCTATCCTAAACCAGCTCAATCCAATCGGTACCATCCAATCCTCCCTCTCTAAGATCCATTTTAATATTGTCCACCTACTTAAGCCTTACTCTTCCAAGTGGTCTTTTTTCTTCTGGCTTTCCCACCAATATTCTATATGCATTCCTCTTCTCCCCCATTTGTGCTACATGCCCTGCCCACCTCATCCTCCTTGATATAATCTGTGCTTATACCTAAGAGAAATATAGCTACTTTTCTCCAGTAATTAATGTGAAACGATATTTGATAAATGAAATAAAAATTCAATGAATTGTACCTCATCATCCAATGACTAATACTCCTGGTCTTTTCAGGGACAGAATTATCTCACAAATTATGAAAATTTTAGTCTTCGGTACGATTTATTTTACAGGGGATTGGCCCATTGGAAGCCCTGTGCACGACGGCAGGACACAGAGAAACTCATGTATATTAATGCGATCATTCGGATACGAAACCGCGATCCTCATACTCGAGGAGTTAAATGCTGTGTGATCCTTCAGCAGCACAGCCAGTGTGAAGTGAATGATTCCACAACTATGAATAATGTTTTCACAAAATGTGAATATTATCAAAACTTGGAAAACCTCACGTTCCACTCCAACCAGTTGTCTACGTTTAGTATAAATCCATGTCATTTCTAAATTAACTGATTTTATATCTAAGGGCCGATTAGAGTGGCCTCGCGGTCTAAGGAATGAAATGCCTTCACCCGATCGAATACTAGGATCGTGGGTTCGAATCCAATTTAATGCATGCTTCTTTGTCTTCGTTTATTCTGTGTTTGGGTGTCGTTCTGTGTAGGTAGTGACCTTCCGATGGGCTGATCCCCCTTCTAGGTAGTCCTACCGACTGTAAAAGGGAAAAAAAGCGTTTCACGGATGCCCTATGCTCCAAATGGTGGCAACAGAATTAGAAAGGAAAGAAAAAAGAAGAAAGAAGGAAGGATAGATATATATCGGAAACATTCTCTTTTACCCTGAAAGTGTCACAATTTTCAACGTCATGCTATAAGACAACTGCAACATCGCACTGTGTTACTGAATTAATCCACATTTAAACATATCAGAAGCAACTCATGTAAAACCTGCGTTAATTAATTGATTAGTTAATTAATGTTTCGGATATAAAGAAATGCCGCTGCCGGCTTCATGAGGCCAGGCGTAGTAAAGCAGCCCTGAATTTGACTGGCATAGCCGCAGTCCGTTTACAGATATCCCTTCTTGTGATTTGTTAATTAGTAACCATTTTGAACACAGTGTGACTCGAAAGTCTGTGCCGATCAAGTTAATTATTGGATGAAAACAAACACAACAAATAACAAACAATTCTTCCTACAACTACGAACCTGTTTTCTTAATAGATATGTTTCCAGTCTTACAAATATTGAACTTTTGTCCCCTTATTTAGATAATTGAAATTTATAATAAAAAATTAAATATAAATTAGCTTCCTTTCCATACTACACCCTTGCGTTTCTTTTGTCGTAAATCTGAATCGTTGTACAGAAAAGAATTGTGGCTTCTAGCTATTGTAAATGTAAGATTTTAGGTTTTTACGGTGGTGACTATGAACAATTCCGTCTTCTGGGATGTGGCGCCGTGTAGACATTGTTTTATCCGACGTTTCGGAGGAACGTATCGTCTCCATCTTCAGGGTAGAAGACAAGGAGAAATCCGCGAGAGAACCAGCATGAGTAGGTGGAACAGTCTGACTCTTGCAACTGCTCACGCTGCTTCCCTCGTAGAAGCAGAAATCTTTCGGATCTATCGGGTATTTTTTATAGCTAGTGGGGTGGGACTAAGCCCCTTGTACTGTGGCCACTTCTGGCCTATTGTACCAGCCCCAGATGATAGGTGAGGGTGATTGTGGAGCAATTGGTGAAATGAAGATTGGCAGGGGAAACCGAAGTACTCGGAGAAAACCTGTACCAGCGCTACTTTGTCCACCACAAATCCAACTTCACCAGACCCCGGGATCGAACCCGGTCCGCCGCGGTGGGAAGCCAGCGACTAACCGCTTGATCTATGGCACGGCCCTAAGTCTATTTGGTGTAGACTGAGGTTGCTGAGGGGAATATTTGCACGTAAGAGGGAAGAAATAATAGGAGACTGTGGGAAATTGAAAAGTGAGTACTCCTCGGCAAATATTAT